CATGCAGGAGGCAGCCGATCAATGACTCTCTCATCATTGATATTTCTATCTCTCTCTCTCCCTCTCCTTTCCTCTCTCTGAAATCAATAAAGACATATTTTAAAAACAAAACGCAAAAAACAAACAAAAAAAAAAACCAACAAAACGAAAAAACCCATCAATCCAGCCCTGGCCGGTGCAGCTCAGCTGGTTGGAGCGTTGTCACACACCCCAAAAGGTTGCGGGTTCAATCCCTGGTCAGGGTGCATATGGGAGGCAACCGACTGATGTTTCTCTCTCATGTCGATGTTTCTCTCCTTTCCTCTCTAAAAAAATCAATAAAACATGTCCTTGGGTTAAGACTAAAAACAGAAAAAAAAATCAATTCAAAAAAGGCAACGAAAGAAAATAGAGAGCAGGAAAGTTATAAGAAGCGAGTGGTGCCAGCACAGCCAAGCCCGTTACCCTATGAAATGTGGAGTCTCAACGCGCGTCTAAACGACAGGGTATCAGACTGGGTTTGAAGGACCCCAACCACACACTAGTTAAAAGAGTACATTTAAAATATGACACAGGAAGGTTGAAAGTAAAAAGATAGAAAGAGATACGCTCTGCAAACGTGAACCGAGGTGGGGAAGGTGGGACTGGTGTCAACACATTACCAGGAAGACTTCAGGGTGAAAATCATTATTAAAGATAAACACACACACTTCACACTGACAGAAGGTTCAGCCAGGAAAAAATGACCCAAACGTGTAGGTCCCTAACAACAAGCAAACCCCACAGACTAAGGAGAAACAGACAAACATCTCTGACAGACGTTACCTGCTTGATGTCTCACCTGCTTGCAGCCCTCTGTCCCCTCCCCGACCCACACACACCAGCTCCTGAGACGGAGCCCACACCCCACAGCCCAGCACCATCCAGTGCCTGCCTCCCCGGCCCGCACACCAGAGCTCTGTCCAGCTCACATGGCACAAGTATCCCACTGGCCTGTCCCTCCCTCTCCGCACCCCCCGGGGCTGCAGGCCTGACCTGCACCGTCTGGTGGAGGTGGACAGCCGACACTTTCTTCATACAGTCCTTGATCATCTGGGAGGTGAAGAAGTTGGCCTCGCCCTTCTTGTCCACGGCGATCTTGCGGTAATCCTCCAGCAGGATGGGGCAGATGGCCTGGGTGGGGTGGGTCATGTAGATGGGCCCGTCGTAGCCCACCATCTCGCTGAAGTAGGGTAGGGCCCCGCAGTGGTCCAGGTGGAAGTGGCTGGGGGCGCAGCACAGTCAGCGGGTCACCACGCCCCACCCTGCCGCAGCCCCTCCACCCCAGCCCAAGACTCAGATTGTCTTGCCCACTCATTCATTCATTCATTCATTCATTCACTCAGTGCTTGCTGTGTGTCAGGCACTGTGCTAAGTACTAGGGAGTGGAGAGCCAGCAGACAGACACTGCTGTCTTCCTGGACTGTACAGTCTAAATATCTAGTTCAGCAATAAACAAATAAACAGTTAAAGTGTGTATCAGACGGTGACACATTCCTTGAAGAAACAGAGCAGCTAAAGGGACAGTGTACCAGGAGTCACCATCTTCAGTGGGTGGCGGGAAGACAACCCCTATCACCTTAAGGCACATGTACCAAGGCAGGAAGGAGAAGGGACAGAACCAGGGTGAGGCCTGGAAAGGCACTGGGCAGTGGGAACAGCAGTGCCGTGCCTGTCCACAACTGAAGCAGATGGGGTGAGAGTCCTCAACTTAGGAGGAGATCACAGGAGCCTCAGAGCAGCTGAGGACGGAGCACTACACAGGGTACCTCTGGCTGGGGCAGGATTAGGGGCAATAATTGCTGTAGACGGGCCCACCATCTGGAGGCCTGACACAGCCTTATCTCCCTGGGCACCTGGGCTCTCGTCCACACCTGGGGTCATAGCACTGTCCACCCCTCCCCCCACAGGGCTGACTGCAGCCCACCAAGGAGCAGCTGTGAAACCTATGACCACACACAAAGACACCACCGACAGGGCCAGCCATCAGGGTAGGGAGGGCCAGGCCTGGGGTGAGCCACAAAGGCAACCTGGGACAGAGACCCCAGCCAGCGACACCCCGGGATGCAGCCTCCACGGGGTCCTGGAGGCAGGGAAGGCTCAAGCCAGCACAGCATAGCACAGCACTGTCACCAGCAGCCCTGTGATGGGCCCACCTGATGATCACACAGTCCAGGAAGTCGGTCAGCCGGCCATTGCGGGTGATGTAGGAGAAGTCGGGGAAGCGCCTCTGAGAAGTTGAGAAAAAGTGTCAGGACACAGCAGCTGCCTGGGTCTCAGGTGACAGGAGGGGCAGCCAGTGCTCCGGGGAGCAGCTGGACACCAACACCCCAGTCCAGCCGGCTACACCTGGACCGCTGACTGCTCACAGCCTCCGAGAGCACAGGGGATTCAAATGCTGGAACCAGTAACCGAGCCCAGCCCACCCCACATGACCCTGCAGAGGCCCACAAGCCCCCTCTCTGCAGACCAGCCCCTACACAAGGCACCCCATCTGACATATGACGGTGGGAGCTGCCCAGGAACAGTGACCCCAGACCCACCTGCCTCCTACCCTGCCCACTTGCCCGCGGTCCTTGACAAGGAACAGGCTGGGTGACAGGCCCTCCCCAGCCCCACGGGTCCTCCCTGCAGCCTGCCGACAGGACTCACATCATCGTTGAAGCCCATGTGCATCCCGCAGTCCAGCATGACGTTCTTGCCCCCAATAGAGACCAGGATGCAGCTTCGGCCCACATCCTGGCCAGCCCCTGCAGGGACAGTGGCCAGTGAGGTGCTGCCATACGCTTCCCCGATCCCCTACCGCCCTCTGCCCCTCCCCTGAGTCCCCTTCCCCAACTCCAAGGCCAAGGTCCAGCTGCCTGTCCCAGACCCCAACCAGGCACTCTGGATCCCTGGCCCCACAGAGCCCTCAGTGGGGTGGGGAAAGCCCTGTGGCTGCTGTGTGGGCCACATATGAGGGGAGAACATTGCCACCTCCACAACAGACAGGAAGGGGAATGCACAGGGAGGAGACAAAGCGCCAGGTCCTCCCCTGAGCTCTGACCTGAGTGCCCTCCCCCACAGTGCCTCCAGCCTTGGGCCCAGCTCAGATGGAAGGTCGAAGCCCACCTGCTGTGACCCACCCACACCCTCAATGGCCAAGGGCTGAGGAACAGGTGTTGGACTGTGGTCGCAGCACCAAGAGAGGCAGTGGCACTCTGGGGGCCTCGTCACACCTCCTAAAACCTGTGTTGGGGTCACATCTAGGCTGTGAGACCCCCTCCCCTAGGACATGCCCCCAAGAGGTGTCAGGCACCTCCTGGTGGTGCCACCCAGAGGTTCCCCATGTGACTCTAGCCCAGCCACAGAGAAACAAGGCCCCAGCTGTCCAGCAACAACTGCAGTGACCAGACCTGAAACTGAGTCCTGTCCACATTCCTGACCTCCAAGCCCCACCCAGCTAGCTGCTCCAGCCCCAGCAGGATAGCCATTTCAGCCGCCTCCGATAGCCACCTGTGGCCTCCTCTGGGGTCTGGGGTCCAGAAGGAAATGGACACAACCTTGCAGGGCCTGATAAGAGCAAACGGCCTGCTTTCCATCCTGAACCGTATGAGCCTCTCTCCGGCTGCCACCTGACCTTCTGTTGGCACCACACACAGGTGACACCGCCACATCCAGAGCAGGATGGGGCTGGTCCTTGGGAAGTTTATCACCAGTGACAATAGCAGAGGATGTCAGCCAAGAGCTTGCCTGTGTGCCTCAGGCAGCCCAGCCACAGGTGGTGGCCTGCAGGTCTCCTACAGGCCTGCTCCTGTCCCCACCAGGATGGGCTTCCCCGAGAGCAGCGTAATAGCTGTCTCTTCCCTACGATGGCAGCTCAGACACTTGTAGATGGGGGAAGCATGGGATCGCCCCCCCATCCCACCTCACCCCACCCCACCCCAGGCACGTGGCTCCTAAGCACGGGCCAGGGATGGCCTTCGGGATTCCAGAGCCCAGCTCTTAGGCACTGGCCGCCTGCCCCCAACAGGAACCAGGATAATCTCAGGGAGCAAAAACAGTGGCCTGAGCTGGGCAGAAGATATGGGGAACTGAGTCCAGGGCACACAGGAGGGGACAGGGCTCAGGAGAAAAGACAGGAGACAGCCTGTCTGCAGGAGCTCATGTTCTAGAGCAAGGAGACAGACGATGAACACACAGACAAGACACACCAAGGGCACCAGGTGGAGATGAGCGCCAGGGAGGAAAGTTAGGCAGGGAAGGGGCCACAGAAACTTCCAGAACCATGACAGGCTTAGGACCTCCAAGCAGAGTGGAGAGGGACAGCAAGGGGGAGGCAGGTGTGCAAAGGCCCTGTGGCGTAAGTGACTTAGGAGACTCTCTGTACCTGGTCCAGGTGACCAGGGAGTCCACAAACATGGCAGAAACATGACAGGAGATAGTGGAGAAGTGGTTCTGCTTTAGGGGTGATGAGGCTGAGTGACCTTGGGGGCGCACGTAGGTGCAGACTGGGTAAAGGGAGCAGGAAACGGACAGGACTGTTTGAGGACAGTGGGTGTTGACAAAAAGGGCCAAACGAAGAAGGGGCTGGAAGGAGGGCTCTGCAGAGGCCCCTGGAAAGGAGCCACGGGCAGGGACGGGCATGGGGCCACAGTGGCCAGAGGGGACCCTGTGCCAACAGCCACAAGAGTCCATGGGTGTGACAAGGCACCGGAACAGAAAGATGCTCCTGACACACAGCCCAGTGAAGGAGGCAGGTGCTGGGACAGCGCACTGGGCGTGTGCAGGAAAAATGCCCAGAGAAACCTGGAGGGCGGCCACCCAAACCACAACTCCAGTTGCTTCTGGGCCCCTGGGTTCTGAGTGATCCTGCCTCCTTTGCACTGTTTTGGGCTGTCCAGGCTTTTAAACGTGCACGTGAAAATATTTATCAAGATGCAAAGCTTTTTTTTTTTTTTTT